TATATATATATGTATATATATATATAAGTATATATACGTGTGTATGTATATATCTATATAATATCAAATTGGGTTGATAAAAATATATTCGCTTTGATTTCTAATATTTACTGAAGGCAAACCCGCTAGCTATATGACAACTAATCCGTTGTGGACGCACATACTTGGATGAAGTGTTGGATTGTGTTGAGAAATTCGGTCATCCTTCAGCATGTGAAGGAGAGTCGTCTTTCCGGCGTTGTCGAGTCCCAAAAAAACGATCTTAGCGTTCTTCGATGCTAGGCCAAGAAAATTTAAGGCTCCCCAGAACCAATCTACCATAAACATATTGAGTCTGTTTGCAGAACCGCATGTAACAGAAACGGTAAAAGTGGAAACAATAAGTATAAGCTAACTTCGAAAAATATTTGCTTCTGCTGCTACAAGCTTCTGAGTCTGCAACAAGCCAGCGTAAGTAGCTAAAATTACGTAACAGCAAGCAAGATGCTCTACAAAAATGGTGAACCGATCAGTATTGCAGTCTCATATTTGAAAATCAACTGACAACAATACTGCTGCAAACGAGACAACAAAACATGACAAAACGAAACCGGTGCCGACACAGAAAATATGCGACTTTTCTAACATCTCAGTCTGTACATAAGAGACACGTTTCCCACACACGCACCTTTTTTGTAATATACAGCTTACTGATGTCTTATCTTCCGTGTTTCAAGATGAAGTATACAGTTGTACATACCATGAAATATTTACACCACCCCCTGATGAAACATGATACATGATGAAGATGATGATGGTTTTCAAAACAATCGGTGATGATAGAGAGTGATTACGACATAATTAGTACACCATCGTATAATTTGCGACTTGTGTCGTAATGCTCGCCATCCGAGAAAAGGTGTGGGTGCAGGCAGCCTCTACAGCCAATGATATTAGCCAGGACTTCCAAATAAAGCATCTTTTATATTTTCATTTTTTATTTGTTTTTTATTATACCTCCAGCGATGAACGCAGTTCGGTCTTTTATTTATTGTTTGCGTATCCTCTGTTGTCCCTAGCTGTTGTCCTTTTAGTTTTTTCGCAGGGGAGGTTTCAGGTTATGTATGATCATACCTTTTTCTAACTTATTATTGGGATTTAAATATGCTATTTTTAATGAAAAAAACAACCTGTTTTTTTTTTTGCCGTATGTAGCCCATGTATTTTTATTTACAAATATGTACTCTAAAACAAAATATTGAAATGAATATAAAAAAAGTAAAACCATATTGATATTTATATACAAAATTTACTGGACATATTATTATTTTTTAAATACGCGGGATATGTACATGCCTGGTAGGTTACATACCAAACAGCAGGCATTTACTATTTGAAACGCGAGACCCACAACAAAAGTTAATGCTTATCTTACATACATCAGTACATTGCGGGATGATATATCTCATATTGTACATGCTGTATAGTAATACTGAAATCGATTGAACATTGCTGGTATTCTATATTCATTGTGGTACCCTATATTTCACAAAAACATCTATATAGAGAGGGATGGATATGGTTGTAGTCCTAAATAATGGTTTGCAGACCTGAATAAAAATAGCAGTATGGAGGTGCGCGATACCACCCCCGCAGAGAATGTACAAAAAAAAATCCTCGCAAAACCCGCACAAACACAT